GTGGAGACCCACTCACATGCATCACATGCCTAAATTTCTCAAGCAATTCCCAAATTGTGTTGTTGGTGAAAAGTACAAAGTACATTGAATTTGTCACATGAATTCCACTTTTTCAGGGCAGGAGGACAGTTTAGAAGTAGAAAGGAGAATACAAATTCTATTTGCATTGCAGTACTCCAGTGACGCTTGATGAAATAAACTCATTAGAGTGCATGTGGTAAAGGTGCCATCTAATTTAATGTAGGATTCTTGAAAGTGCATCAGTATTTCAGGTGAAAGGGGCGTATGCCACTAGCTAGCAAAAAGCAGAAATAATGATCTTTTGTGAATCTCCTGGACTTTAGACAGAATTAATGTTTTTTAAGGTTATACCTGCATTAGTGGTACATATTAGTTGGCACATCATTTAGTTTACATATTTCATCTACATCCTTGGAGCTAGGTACCAGGCTGTTGCTGTGTAGTGTCTACTCTGAGGACACTTTCATCAATGACTACACAAAGAAAATTCAAATTAAAGATTACTTCCTAGGCCTAGTGGTTCATCCACTATTTTGCTGTTGAATTAATGAATGCTCAGTGCAAAACCGCAATTGGAAAAATAGATGACATTGAAAGGAAAACTCAAATATGTTTTATGGATAATTTGTTTTTCTTGCTTGTGATTGTACTAGCACTGTACTTTTGGAAGAGTGAGAGAATGTTCTAAGGGCAAGTGTCTGAACCAGGACAGAGACTTGGTTTAGTCACCAGTCTTTGTGCGCATTGGCTTCTCTTGACCTTCCTACTTCCCTGCTGCTGGAACTAAAAATTTGTTTGCAGCATTTTGGATTGCCAGAGCTTGTGGCCTCAGTTATGTGGGTATATTCTGTGATAATTAATTCTGCCGGTGGACTTGGGAGTTGATAAATGCTACTATTATTTTACAATTATATATTAAATGTTACCTGTATTACCCTCTCAGGACAACACAGTGCACTTCCAGGGAAGAAACACATAACATGACATGAAGAAAATGAGAACATAGTTAAACAGAATGTGTCCGTGATAGTCTAGGGAGAGATTAAACTGGAATTCAGCTGAAGTCTTTTGTAGGAACAAGCACTAGTGAAGAATGAGCAAAACGGGAAAGCTACAGGGCTCTGCTTAGCTTGTCATTTTTCCCCCAGCTGGTAAAATCTGGTATATAATTTCTAATATAATATTGTTTGAATATTTTGCCCTGCTTTAGTTTGCTTTTAGTTTCTTTGAGAAAGTAATTCCGAGCCTTCCTTTCTTTTCCTGTGGTTCTTCTACAAGGTTTCTTTCAGCACTATCTAATTGGTTGACTTATGATAGGAAAAAGTGCTGTGAAATGCAGTGTATAAATAAAACAAAACCAGAAAGGCTTTTTATGTGTTTGTTCCCTGCTAACTTCTTTCTGTGATGATAATCTCAGTGATTATTTATAACTTATGAAAACAGTGTCTATCTGCACGAACATGGAGAAGGCACTCCTGATTTAGTTCTGTAGATGAAGAAATGGAGCTACATAAAATAGTTTTCATTCCTCTTGTTAATTCTTGATTGAAACCCATTGAGCACTGTTACTCTTTTGCTGGTAATGGACAAACAAAAGAACAAAGACAAATATCACCAAAGACAAATCCTTAATTTTTATTTCAGAGGAGAAAAACATAGAACATATTATTTTATGGATCTGTATGTGCATAGTTAAATATACATTAATTATAATGGATAGCAATATAGTAAAGCAGAATGAAATCCCTAGTGGCATTGCAACGCATAGATTGTGGTTGCAATTAGAGAAAACCTGTTTAATCTGTGAAATTAGGACTTGCTGTGTGTAAGCATGAAAAATACGGGTAGCATCACTTTTTTTCAGAGAGGAATGAAGCTGTGGTACTTTGTGTGTTGTGGGACACATATGGCATGCAAAGGAGATAATCGAATGTAGCTGGCTTTGAGAGTCTGGAGCAAAGGCAAGGCATTTTATGTGCAAATGATCAGTCTTATATTGGATTCTCAGTACTGGTGGCATAAAACTTTAATTTCCTAATAGAAGCAGAGCAGTTTGAAGTGATAAGTGATAACGGTTGAGGCTGAGTATTGTTTTTCTTTTTAATTCATTATTTATAATTTAAGAAGTTGCTATTATTTATTTTATTTGACATTGTCTTTTTAAAATAGTTTTTATTATTTAAAAAATAAAGTAATGCTTGGAATATAGACTTACATAAATACGTATATCTACTGTAGGAAAAATCCACAAAGGAAATAAAATAGATTAGATTTTGATCAGTTCAATTTGCCAATGTATATGTAAGAAAACAGTCTATTCTTGGGAGCCAAATTTGTACTGATGATCATAAGAATAATTTTAGGGTGGGAAAGTGTGTATCTGAAGCAGTTTCTGGAAAATGTCATTAGCAAGACTAAATACTACTCCTCCCTTTAAAATAAAATAACAGTAAAGTACCCTGCAGAGAGGTTTGCTCTTTGCAGCCAAACCATAACTGTTCATAGGCAACTGTCAGAGAACAGGCAAGGAATACACTAATCTCTCTCTGCATGGGGGCAAGCCTAGTTAGGCACACACACAATTTTATATGATTCTTTAATTCATATGTACATTTTCAGCACAGTGCTTTGAGGAATAACTAATGTGCCTATTCAGTACCTGGGGCAGCAGGTGTTTAATGAAAACAGTATATTGTATTATACCTTAGAATCATAGAATCATAGAATAGTTAGGGTTGGAAAGGATCTTAAGATCATCTAGTTCCAACCCCCCTGCTCTGGGCAGGGACACCTTACACTAAATCATATCACCCAAGGCCTCGTCCAACCTGGTCTTGAACGCTGCTTCCTGCTTATTCCCTTTGCCTTGAAGGACACAACCAGTTGCGGATGGTTTTAATACATTTCAAGCTGTACCAGTTCTTTTTTTCCCTGGTGTTCTGGTGAATAATTACAGCAGCTACTGTTGAGAATAGTTCACAAATGCTACTCTATGTCTTTAGAAATGCAGAAGTATGAGAGAAGTTTTATTTTGTCACTGTAGTGCTATTTATAGAATTGTAGAATCATTTAGGTTGGAAAAGACCTTTAAGGTCATCACATCCAACCATTAACCCAGCACTGCCAAGTCCCCCACTAGATCATGTCCCTATGTGCTACATCTACATATCTTTTAAACACCTGGAAGGATGGGGACTCAACTACTTCCCTGGGCAGTCTGTTCACCCTTTTGGTGAAGAAATGTTTCCGAATATCCAATCCAAACCTCCTCTGGCCCAACTTGAGTCCATTTCTTCTTGTTCCATTGCTTGGGAGACCACACAGACACCCATCTCACTACTACCAAGACCCCTGCCAACTTCTACTTAATGAGCTATATCTTGGGAAAGGTGAAAGAGTATGTAAAAAACACAGCAACTGCCACTGGCTGATGATACATTAAAAAGCTGGTTCTTCCTTACCAAAATAGTAGCACATCACTACTTGGAATTAGTAAGTTGTGAAGTTTTAAAAGCAGTAAAACGCAAATCAGGTTCAATCATGGGTGTGCTTTGGTTCTTAATTAAAAGATATTTTGCCAATGACATTTACAGTCTTTTTCACTGTTGGATATGCTGCTGCTTGTGTCAGCAGCAGATTTTTGCACAGCTTTCACACAGGAAGAATGAGGAAATGTATTTCTGTATGATGTTCAGAAAAGGTATAAAGTTCAGCTGCTGAAAAAGTAAGGCATTTTGTCCTGAATATAACTTAATGTGTACAGAAGATGGTTAGATGCTGACAGTGTAGATTTTGGCACTGAGTCTTCCTTAAAGCAAGGTTTGTGAAGGTTTTTTTTCCTAGCAAGTTACAGACATAAAAATGACAGAAAAGCCCATGATTGCAGCATGTCCTACTTCACCAGAGTGGTCATAGTTTCCTAAAACTACTTCCCAACAACTTTCTAACAGAGGACAATGGTGTATTCTTGCTTTTGCTTACCAGGAAGCTTGCAGTAATTAAAACCAGCAGACATAATTATCTCCATGATTGGAATTTGCAGCTCAGTGATGTAATGTTTGCTGCACTGAAGAGCTCTGGTACAACCTTTGAAAAGTCCTGAGGGATCATTCCTAGGTAACAAAACATAGAGTAAAATGTAGATGATTTTTTTTCCACCGGTTAGCTCCTCATGTTTGATGCAACAGGATTTCTGTGCTTCACATACTTTTCCTGGATCTTATGGTAACTGAGAAAACGGTTGATGATGAAAACCAGGTGGTGTAAGATAATTGTTGCAGAGATCATCAGAATACTGTACTCTTTCTATACAGTCTGAAGTTGCTGTGTAGCAACAGTGATTCCATTATTAACTCATATGGACTCTTTATTGATTTTAATAAAAATAGGGATGGGATTATTGGTTATAAAATCAAGGCCATGGAGCTTAATTAGATCAATACTTTGGGTTGCAGCTTTGCATACTCACAAGATTCAGCGACAAGAAGCTAGAGCTTTTTGTTCTTATCAAAGTATTCCAGTAAGTATGAAAGCGCATGAGCCATGCTGCTAAATACAAATGTGTCATTCTTCATAAGCAAGAGTTTTTGAAATGGAGGAGTGAAAATCTGAGACTCAGAAATAGTAAATTCTCCGGTTTTTTAAGCAATGGTCATATTTTGAACAGCACTACCACTGGAAACAAACCCCCCCAAAAAAAAATTAAGTGAGCTTCAGACTTATTCTTGAACATCAGCTAAACAAGAAGTGTTATGGGAAAGAAGCTTTTGTGGGTGAGACCTTATTTTAAAATTGCCTTCGCTTAGATTCGTCTTGTATAGAATCATTTGGTACTGGCTTCTGATGAGTTGGGATGTTGTTGTCTTTGACAGCTCAGTGGAATTCTCAGAGCTGTCAGTACTAAAGTTTGACAGTGTTTGTGTTCCTTGAGGTATGGAGAAGAAAAGTAATTCTGAACGAAATTCTTTTCTTTATTTCAGATTCACTCGCAACTTGCAAACTGGAGTCTGCTTACTGTTCTCTGTTTCAGATAAGATGTCAAAGCAAGCAAGGGAGACTTAGAAGTAATGTGACTCAGGAAAAGAGTATTTGGTAAGTCACCTAATGTGCATTAAGAAGTTGAGAAAGTGATAATTCATTTGCATGTATTTTTTTCTGCTCCTTTGTAGTTAAATTATGCTTTTTATCCTAAAAACACATTTTGCAAAGTGTTTATTCTGTCAGAAGGTTAACAAATCAAACCAGTACCTTCCTGCAAGGCGTGCCGCAGCTTAAGCTTCTGCAAAACTTTGCAGTCCCTCAGCACTGCGTTCTGGTTTTGTTGAACTGTAACACAGTGCTCTTCTATCTGTGCAGCTTCCACATTTTTTTAAGGTTAATTATTCACATGTTTCAGTTAGAACATCTTTCTTGGTAATTCTACATTCCCTCAGCATGTCAGAAGGAATATTCTCATATTCAAACTCCATTGAATAACATCATCTACTTGAGGAGTTTCTCATTCCCTTCCAAAATACATATTGATTTCAGTGGAATTTAAGTAAGACAATTCTTGTGTATTCACTGTCTAATTTTGCTTTACAGGCTTTTAAATCTCCTTCCTGAACTCTTAAAATCTTGGCGTTTAATGTGGTGACCATATGGCTTTAATACTATTAGTTCTTGAGTTTACTGATACTTTCATTCTAGCATGCACAGTTCTTTTATACTGTGCAATGACTGTTTGGTTGTGCTAATATAGCTACAATATTGTTTAATTTTATGAAAGCCTACTAATGTGTTTAAATGGGATTGAGAGGTCATACAGTTTCACTTCGAACTAGTAGCACTCAGTTCTGATCTGTATTTTTACACCTACTTTCGTGTATATGATAGAATATCTGTGCAGGTGAATAAAAGAAAAAGCTGTGTAGCTCTTTTGTGTCACTGGAAAATATTGTACAGGTATGTACCCTATTCAGGTCAGGCTGCATATAAACACATAGGTATCTCCTAAAGATAAATTGCATATACATCTACAAAACGATTTCTGAAGAGAGGATTATTTTATATTGTCTTTGGCTCCTGTCCCATTTTTATTGATATCCCAAGTTTGAGAATCCTCACTGAAACAAAAGATAGTTTCTTACAATAATGTCTGGGTGTGACATGTGCATCCAAATGGATTTCTCTTATGCAAATGCAGAGCCTGGGACAGAATTAGAAACAGCTGTAACCCCTGACTCAGCAAGGTACAATACCACTCTATTTCTATAGGGATGCTATCCCAGCAAAATAAATCGAGCAACTCCTGATCAAAGGTATTAGTAATTTATTATCATGATGTTCTTCTGACACCCACACATAAGCATTTACATTACAGTGCATAAAAAAAGGTCATAGTTGCTTAAATAAATAACATTGGTATTTTGCAATTAAGTTATGAAGGAAGTCTCTTTTCATATAGCTGCTGGCTTTGATCTTTCTTTACATTATTTAACACCTAAGACTCTAGAGTGAATTCCTTTTGTCAGATATGCAGTGTAGTTTTGCTGTGGTGACATCTTGCATGACCTCCTTGAGCAGGGTCAGAGCAGACTGCAAGTGGGTAGCAGTAGATTCTGCTCTTTTCCTATGGTGGAATTGCCTTGGTTGTCTTCCCAGCCTCTCTGGTTGCTTGCTCCTGTCCTTTCCTGTACCATTGCTTTAGTTCTGGTTTCCTCTGGATCCTAGCACAGAAGTCTGTGGTCTCAGTGCAGTACATATCCTCTGCAATACCTGATTTCTGCTTCAGTTGGCTTTTCCAAGGCTCTCAGCCTTACCCACACGTCCACATTCGTTTCTCCAAGTCAGAATACTGGCTGGATAAAACACTTGGCTTGACATAGATGCCCTTATATGTCACCAGAGAGAAGAGTGGTAAGCCTAACCTCTGAAGCTGTAAAAGCCAATCAACAAGATGTCCCTTTATATCACGGGGATTCCAGGAGGGAAAAAGTTAAAAAAAAATTGCTGTGAAATTCAGAATTACATTGGTTTGGGTTTGTTGGGGTTTTGTTGGTTTGTTTTGTTTTGTTTCTTTAATGAATTGTTTACTGTAAAGTTCTTTTTTGACTACAGACTGAACAAGGAAGGAAACAAAACATTTGAGTTCTCTCTGTAAGGCAGTTACTTTCTCTGTGCCTTTTTCTTTCCTCTGTTTAATTCCCAATACCCTAGAGAGGCAGTTTCCTCTCTTAGCAGGGCCTTTGACCTTAAAAATAGCCAACTCCAAAATAAACACAGAAAAAAACCCACTACAGTTGTTTCAGATACACGATAAGTAACCAAACTGAGTGCACGCTAAGGCTGAAATTCATAGTCTTTCAGAACTGCAATTGGTACTTTCATTTCTTTGTGAATTAGCATTCATTGTTTTGTGTTCATGCTGTATGCCTGCCTCTCTCTCCAGAGAAATTTGTCAAAACTTAGGATGCTATTTATAAGTAATGTGCCACTACTTTTACTACTCTTGCAACATTTTTAGAGGGGACTCTTTCACTTTGGACAAGGGCCAGGCAGGGCACCAAACACCTAAGGAAGAGGTGATCCCAGAGTGTTTTCATGACGTTCTCGTGTTGTGCTCTTTTGGTGCTGGTAGACATCGCAGCTGCATGGGGCCAGCTGGAAGAGTTGATGATTTATCAAACATAAGACTGGTTCTACCTCTTTTGCTTCTAGTTTTGATACTCTGTTCTTTGATTCAGCTGCACGAAGGAGGAGGTGGTCCAGCCTGGACCTCCCCTCTGCATTGAGTCATTTGTGTAATGCCATTCATAGGTTGTCTCATTATCACCATTGCTGCCTTCTTGTCAGTCTACAGACCAGAATTTTCAGTTTCTACAAAAGCTTTTTCCAGGAAAAGGACTTAGCATGAAACAGATTTAATGGGGGTGGGGAACTAAGCCTAGCCTAATACATTAACGGAATGTGTCCATATGTTAAAGCAGTTGTTAACAGCTGTACTCTATATTTCACTGAGGAGCCCTTGGCCATATGTAACCGGTAAGGACAGAAGGACACGAGAAAGGACATTCAAGTCCACACATTAAATCCCTGCTGACAAGCAAGTATTGCAGTGGAATATTTTCAGAGTCTGGCCAGTGCCCTTGCATGGAAAAGTCAGTTAGGGCTCACAAATACCTCTCACTGGGCAGAATTGTATTCTGACCTTGTTTAAGAAGATTTAAAACTGGTACAGTTTCAGGAACAACAGTCCTTTGGGTCTTCAAACACATTTCAAACCCTTCTGCCACAAACAGACACCAAGTAGTGCTGACACAGACTGTCACAAAACAGAGGTATTCCCCCTGATTTACAAGGGCTGAGTTCATGTTGCAGAGGACAGTTTTCTACCTCTTCCTATATGAATATGCCAGCTACATCTGTGTGCTGTTGCAAACGTTTAGACACTTGAGTGTCTTCCTCTGGATATAGCTAAAATCTTTTATTTATTTAGAAAAATATGTGCTACAGTGTTATGAAGTCTAAGAATAGGACTGAAACTTTTCTGATTAACACAAACAGTTTGGTCTTAGGTGTAGGGGAAGGAGGAACAGTTAGAAAATGAGCAGGGGGAAATAGCAAAAGAACATTTTGTGTACTTTTCCATTGAAGATATAGCAGGGTTTGGAAGGTTTTTTTTAATCTGTTGTGTTAGCTTAATCCACAGGGAACTCATTTTGAAATTAAATATACCAAAGCATTTATGATTTACAAAGAGGGAAAAAATAAAAGCCTCAAAAAATATCTTGTGTTTGATCTATTTGTTGCTATGAAAATATTGACAAAAGGCTGAAGAATGGCCTTCATTTAGCTTATTATTGTTGGCTTGCTTTAATGCTTTCTTATTAAGGGCAAACTCCCATAAGATGTGAGATTAACTCTTTCACAGTTGCGCAGGAGTAAAAGATGGGGACTTCAAACGTAAAACTCCTCTAAACAATGATTCTAAACTAGGTAATCTGTGATTCCTACTCAGAAAAACGTAATGTGGCAGAGGGAAGCTTTTAGAAGTAAAAAAGAACTTATATGGAACGGTTTGTGCAGAATTTATATTTCAAAATAGCTTTAAAAAGCAGCCTCCAATACAAAAACAGAAACATGGTGTTAATTAAGCAGTTCTGAAAGTGTTTCAGAAAACAAATACTTTATGGGAAGGAAAAAAAAGAACATAAAAGTCTTACTCTTGAGTGTGCATATGTAAAATAAGCATCTGTCTTCACTGAAGTGTGAACTACAGACCCAACTCAAGTGTTACTGGGACCTTAACTTCATTTACCCACAAAAACCTCTAGTTTTGTGGAGTGGTTAGTGCTTTTCACTTGAGTCAGCTAGTCCTTCAGGAGCCTGTTTCGAAGAGCAAGTGCTACTGATGTTTAAATTGGTAATGCAATAGAGAAGTGGCAAGCGACTTCAAACTTGAGTTAACGCAGTGCATCAGCTGCTAATCCAGTCATGCTGTGCTGCTAATCAAATCATCCTGGTAGTCCAAGGGCTGATTTTCAGTGTAGTCATTGTCACACAAGTAAGAACTAGGCTGAAGCCCATGCTAGAACTGCATCTTAGCAGAACATACCCAAACCAGCTTCTGGCTGGCTGGTCTGCACCCCAGGCACTGTCTGGATGTGGTAGTACAAGAGGTCAGCCTCTAAGGCAGATAAACCAGTCCCTTGTGAACACCATGCTGCAGTGGCTACGCTGCTGCTGATGCTACCTGTGCTCATTAGCTTGAAGCCTGCTTAGGTAGCTGAAAACTCATTGAAATTGTCAGGAGAATCATTACCTAGCTCTGGGTTAGTATCATGATGCCTGGTGTTGCAGGGAAGGCAAACCTGAAGTTTAAGCTGTCTGTTGTCGCTTGACAAAGAAACAGATGTTACTGTTGCCACCCCAGAATTCCTAAAAGAAATTGCTAATTTGAACTACTTATTCCATTCTATTCACATTGAATTAGCATTAATAATGAAGCTAATTGTACTGTTATCACTGTAGAATCCGAGGGAGCCTGTTGGGCAGAATGTCGCATGAACAGGAATGTCTGTTGGGATATTTAATTTCATCTCCCTTGGCAG